GGACGAAACGTGCGTCCTGGATTCCACTGCTAGCCACTACCCACCTCTGCTTATAATGCTTGTAAATTAAGGCAATACCAAGGCAATACTCACAGAATGCACATATGCCAATAAGAGACTGAGCAACTCCAGTCCTAAACATCCATGGGAAGATTTAACGTTTCAGAAACACACAGTAACAGGACCAAATAGATGCCTTCCTACCGAAACGCTGTAAGAACAAGTTGATAGCCACATAAAAAATTATTTACTTCTAACTGAAGAACAATCACAGTTACAAATATATTATTATCTAGAAACATAATTATGGTCAATCAGAACAGTGCATGCTGACGATGTAGCTTCTTCGTCATCATTAACTGTAGTACTCTGAAGACATCTGACCACGATGTTCTGCATTTACATACATCTTCACAGGCATATCTGACGAAAAAAACAGAGTTGGGTGGCTTTCCATCTCTTTACAAACCGACATGACATACTTAGTGTACCCACAGATGTATCGTTACTTTATGTACTTCTTTCAGAAAGGTCTTGAAATTATCTCTTCTAGTAGATTGTTTTGATAAGATAATATCATTGAAGACTCGTCCAATACCATGCATTATTACGATGGCATCACTTTCCTTACTTCAAGAATGGAGGCTACCAGATAGTGTGGTTGAACTAGGATCAAAATTTAAGGGCTTCCTGAAAAACTTAGATTGTTAGGGTTGTGCACAAGCCCCCATGCGTTCGGCGACTTCCGTCAATGGATGATGCCACTAGGTCGTTACCGCTTGGCTGTGCAGACGTGATCGCTCTATGTTAAGTTTTCCCGTTCATATTAAATATATTCTGTTGCCAGCCAAAATGTATACTCCAGAAGTGTGAAACACCATACTATTAATTGTCACAGTAAGACAAGACAGCATTGACAATGATGTGAATTCCACGTGAGATCTTACAGACTTGGTCACCGTATGATGACAGGTCTATTATTCTGGAGGCAAAGTCGAATACGATTAGTACCGATGACACACAACATTCTTATAAAATATTTAGTTTCATTTTGGATAGGACAGGAGTCTGAGTGACCTGGGTTAGTCATGACAACTGTGATATCTCGAGCTATCCAAATTTTTTTAGATGGCGTGAAAAGATGGAGCTTCAATCACGTGTTGGGTTAATGGATTCCATTCGTTGATGATTCGATAGGAAGGTAGATAGTCAGCGGGCAAGTTATCTGTTCTGATCTTGTGAACATTTTTAAAGTGTCCTCGTAAACTCTATGTTCTAAGAGAAAAATTGGTTCAGTTTAGTCAGTCGAACATCATACGGTCAGCTTGATTGCGATTCTTTGGACCCGCTTCAACTACCTGGTGTTTCTTTTTAGGTAGATGTATTCGCTTTTATTTAGTAATCGAGTTTAAGATGCCCAAGTACAGCATACCTATTGACCATAGGATTTCAAAACCTATGTCGGCTAGGACACAGTAGTGTACAGTAATTTTTAAGCATTGGCTAACGATGAATCCTAAGTCACTATGTCTAGACAACATGCAGCTCACTTTTATTCATCGTGTATGTCCCAATACCTTGTTGACTGATATGTTCCACAATGCACTTGGGAGCATTTATCGACAACTACCAAAATTTAAATCAGTCCGATAATTTCTCCGGGTCATTTTGAAGCTCTTAACATTCATCTATTTACATTATCGCCCTGCATATCTTGACATCATCAGCACATAACAAAACCGACAGCGATAGGAGACTAGAATGATAATTTACATAAAAAAGTCACAGCACTGGCCCAAAAACTGTACATTAAGGCCCTCCACTAAACACTATTCTCCAGCTAAACAAATTTGAGTTCGCCTGTACGCTTTGTTGACGCCCAACTAAGAAGTCCTTTATCCACGTTAATAAATTGCCTCCAACCCCGACATTCCTTAACTTATATAAAAGCCGGTTGTGATGAACTTTGTCAAAAGCCTCTCTAAATTCAGTGTAAACCATATCTATAGGTAACTTTTGGTCTTTGAAAGCTCACCAACTCTTAACAGCTATTATTGGGCTAGTAAGGTGTAAATAACATGTTCTAAAGCCGTGCTGCTTTTAAGAAAGAATCAGGGTGTTGTTGCGATACTTGAACGAATCCTTCTGAACATTCTTTCTTAAAGATTTAGTAGGAATACCGGTTAGACTTACTGGTCGACAGCTCTCAGGTTTATGCCTTGAAGGTAAAACTTACTATTTCGTTCTTCCGGTCTTTTGGCAATCGGTCCAGGGTTACAGATAGGTTAAAACAAATACTAAGAAGATTCGCGACGTAATTTGCTTATTGTTCTAGTAGCCGAGAATGCTTACACATTACTAACTGATATTATTTCCGCAGTACAAAACTGGATTTGCCAGATACTTTTTTACTACATAGCTTGGTAACTATCACTATAGAGTTAGGTCCGCGCAGATTAAATATTCAGGTTCTAACGTTAGCAGCACCATAATATAAGAACGATCTTTGATTAGTATCAGAAGGGGTTTTGTGGAGATTGCAGTAATTTCAACAGTTGACCCATGATCTCAACTGTTGAAATTACTACAATCCCCACAATTGAATAATTATTTGGTTGTATCAACATTCTTAGTTGAGCAGTTGAATTTCGTTGGAAGTTAATTGACCTGAGAATTTGTAAACATCTCATCAGAGGATTTACTACGACGGCGATTCCAACTAACTAATTGAGTTGCGTTCGAAAATAAGTTCTAAAAAGTATAGTTTTGACTACTAGCAATCGATAAAAGCTTATATGAATAAATTTAAGCGACTTTCTGTGTGTTATCTGATCGTCGAGTCATATTAATGTGTTGATAAGATAGTGTAATAATTCTGTGAAATCCTTAAAGTCTGCTTTGAACCTCACTCAAATCATAGCAAAGCTTCATTGTGGACGCAATACATCGAAAGCTGAATTGTATAAGTTATCATCTGGCTTTCTATAGCTGTGTCGTAAAGCTGTACTTAAATGCAGCAACTGTGTTTCTTTATAACTCTTGTTTCATGCGTCTGTAAACCTAAGGTGCCAAACAAGCTGTTCATAATTGTCTGTGGTTTCAAAACGCTGTTAATAAGCAATATTTGCAACATATGTTTAAGCGATATCATAACAAGTGTTTAATAAGTACATTCGTAGTAACTTATCTAACATATTATTGGAGTGGTCTGTGACATCGTAAAAAAGTACAACGGATTGTATGTATATATTGAAGCTAATATCTGATCTGTTTCGAGGATGAACGGGTAGATTCATCATAAACTACTTTTTATTTTCTTCACACGTTAAATTCCGAAAACAATATTTCAAAGTACGACAGAATTATATTTTTAGGACCACGTTTCTGTGGTAAGAATCTCAAGTCATCTATTATAAGAACTTGACTATAATCAAGCTGAACACTTAGTTCTAATATACTATGTAGTTGACTAAAACAGTGTAACTATTTAATTTAAATAGCATTACATCGCCTCTACACTATACAAAGGTTACCTAGTCTACCTCACCTTCGTATGATAGCCATGCTTTATTGTTTCTTTGGTATATCTAGAACAAAGTCTTATCAGGGTTTATTTAAATGAAAATGGAAAGAAGAATCGACAGACAAGGTCATTTATGCTATTGCATGTGCCAATCTCACACAAATAATTCGGCATTGGAGATTGTTAATATTATTGATTTGTAATAAACCACTTAGTGCCCTGTAGCTATTCCCAAGTAGGAACATATTCGGTGTTGCAGTTAGTTCGGGCAGGGTTGTGTAGTTTCCAAGTCTTTATAGCAATTCGCTAAAAGGATATGTAGTATTAGTAACTGCTGTTGATGCAATCAATTTGAAATCGGATTTTCACAGTTCAACAAACCACTGGGCTTACTGTAGCCAACATTAGCTTCCTAACTTCTGGGAACTAAATTATTCTTGCTATTTTAAGAACTAGTGATATATTATTAACATTAAATTCTTTAAATTGTCCGATTCTACGTCGAAAAGGCTAAAATATTTCAGATCTTTTGTTTTTTGTATGCATTTATATCCCTGTCGTTATTCATCATGTAGTCACATAAGATCATCAAACACAAAACAACACTACGATTTTAATAAACAATCAGACTTAACAGAAGTATCAGCTTTACCAATTTTCCCAGTACCTTTTCGAGTTTAGATCTAATTGGTTCCGTAGGTATTATATTTTAGGTTGTACTTTCGAAGTACTTGAGGAATAGTAACTCAGCTTCACAAAAAAATCAAAATCCATGACCCTTAAATCCCTGAGCTATGCTCATGAAAACTTTAAGCATACCTATAAAGTCAACACATAATTTTTATTCTCAGTATCTGTTGAGATTTTACTGCGAACGAAAATCCATTCTATTCTGCCATTATAAGGACGTAAGAATCCTCAGTCAATGCTGGAATTTTTCGATGCATTTCAAAGAGTGAATTTAAAAATAAAGTTCTAGCGATCATGTATCTTAATACATCGTAAATCTTGATTCGTTTTACTGCACAACTTTTGAATCAACAATAACTTGAAGTTGAGAACACTAAATAGAATGAAGACTAGGCCCTAGTTTGTTCATAATGTTTAGGCTGTTAACCTTAATCACAAAAATGTTATTGATACCGACAAAGTCTTCTAACAAAGTTCATCAGAATTAAAAGTCACCTACAAAATATGTGCACTCATTCTAATTTAGTTTATGAGAACACATCATTCTTAATATCGAAGCAATAAAAATCAGAACAAACCAAAAAAATTTGGCCATTAGGTGTTCAGACAAATTTTAGCCTTCGTAAGCTAATATTTATTCCTAAACCCATAGCGGTTGACAGCTGACCGAAATATTAGAGAAGTGAAGTGCGTAGCATTCTCATGTGAAACAAAATCACTAAGTTTAATAACATCAGATCAAGATTATATTGATAGACACAAAGAATTCATAATCGTTCTTATCCTAGATCATTCTAAATTTCGTCGGTCATTGGATGCAGTGTTCTTACAATGGAAAATGAACACGTAATCACCATTTTGTATCCTACCACCTATAACCAGTCTAATGATATTGTTTTCCAAGGTCATACGGATTCAGTAACAAGCTTAAGTTACAACGACCAACTTGAACATGTCGTCTCAGTGAGTTGCGACCAAACACTGCGCGTGTGGTCTCTTAAAACGAGGGAACAAATAGGTATCACATCAAAACATGCTACACAACTCAACAGCGTAAACATAGACAGTAATGGGTTAAAGTAAGATTATGTTTATGTTAATTAATCTACTACAGTATTATATCAAGTGGGATGGATTTTAGAACCTGTTTGTTTGATTATGAAACTTTAAAACTCAAGGTAAAAGTAGATTTCTCACTACGTAACCCAGTTTGTCCTACTGAACGGAGGTGCAGTTACTGATCATTCAATCACCAAGGATGGTAATTGTTTGGTATGTGTTACTGATATCAGCTGCCAAATGAACTTATGGGATTTAAGATGGCGAAAGAAAGTTTTTTCGATTCCAGGTGAAATCATTCTTATCTGATAAGATTAATTTGGCTTTAAGATATTCACAAAAATACACCAACATGTTGTCTGTTTACTCCGAATGAAAATTGTGTAGTTACAACATCAACAGATGGATCCACAAAATGCACAGACTTGCGATCTCTCAAAACATTACTGACCTTGCGGTTTGATTTGTGGAATTTACAAATTAAATTATTCTTAGTGATCATAGGAATGCTGTATCATCGGCAGCCATCGCTAGAGACGGAAAGTTGCTGGTAACAACATCATGGGACAAAGCGGTTCATCTATACGACATTGAGACTGGAAACTACAGGAGAGAGGGACCACAGATTTTAGCTGATGGTCACACTGGTTCTATAAGTAGCTGTGAAATAGACGATAATGGTGAGGACCAAGTTTCACTCCTAATATTACTTAGGTATCTATTTGGCGACTGGAGGTCACGACAAGTGTGTTATATTATGGGATACTGAGAAAAAAGAAGTCAAGCTGTGTCTCAAGGTATTACCATGTACTATTTATAGAATACTTTAAACAGAGACATACAGATTGGATTAATGACGTATACATGACGAAAGATGGGAAGTGGATTCTAACAGCATCAAAAGTAGATCCTATTATAAATACCAACGTTTTAGGACAGACTGATAAGGTCATGGAATATGGAAGTGATTGAGAGGTTGCCATTTAGTTATTTACCTGGCAATGAGCAAACTGTTCTTACTTTAAAGGTAAGTATAGTAAGATTACAATTGTAACGAAGCTGTCACTTTTACTAATAGGTGGACTTTTTTCGGAAGTAATTTGACTGATACATTTTTACTACACGATGTCTCAGAAAATGAGTTCTCATATTCAATATCATGACATACATATCGTGTACACACTGTCCCAATTTACGGACGAAGAAATTACAAAGTGAATGACTGACGCTGGGCAGGATAAGTGAACATAGTTCAGATTTTCAAAAGTCAAATGTACATCGATAGGGTGCGAAGACCTGTGACAGACTCACCATATCTATCAAAAACCATTGTGCTTGAAAGAAAAACGTCAGTAAATTTGTCTAGGATCCTACCACAGAACTAAAAACCCATATAAATCTAAAACTGACAGTTGAGCCACATGGGTTTTGACTGCAGACCTTAGTTTCGTTGTCTTTAGTGAATTTTGGTTGATATGAAGGATAGTACCCAACAAGAGAAAGTCAGGATAAAAATATCACGAAGAAACCCCTCAATACCAAGTAATTGCAGTGCAAACGGAACAGACGTTCCGCAAAAGTTTAGTTCTTAGGAAGTCATTCTGAATGAATGAATAGGATTACTGTCCTCCAGATCTAACGTGGTTCTCGAAGTTATAATAACGAGGATTCAGAAAAGGTCGAGTCACCATTACGGTGTGCAAACGCTACAACTTCAAGTTGTGACAACACCTACGATCCTTCCCGTCCCGACCGAACTTCTCAACCGCATGTATTAAAAATCAATAACCACCACTTAGTATTGCCTCTTACGTCTGACAAAAAGGAAAGTTCGAGAAATGAATAATTGACCTCCAGGATGGTTTCCTTGTAACACTTCTTACAGAAACAGACAGCAACAAATTCTTAAGTTTTGGCATAAAGACTTTCTGAGGAAATACACCAATTCAACATTGGGCTTAACAGATAAATTACTGGTTAGTGCATTTTGTTCACAAGACCATCTGATGTCATCGAGTTATCTGAAATTGTGACCCAAACAAAACACTTAATAGGGTTTCCGGAAAAAAAAACAGAAACATTTGGCGACAAGCAGATGTATGATTCGCATATATTTTTACTATACAGTGAAATAGGCATCGAAAAACGGCTAACATTGCACATTTGGTTCCAGCTTTTGTAAGGGAATAAAATTGGGATGACAGACTATTACATTCAGGGATAAAACCATATTAAATCGAGACGAAAGCTACTATGAATTATTTGACCACTAAAGGGGGTTACTTCCTGATATACAATTAATGCACACATGACTGGTGAGATGGATAATAAAGTAGTGACAGGTGGTATGAGTCCGAATTGTTTATTAGTTATTGCAAACCAAACGACAAAGTATCGACATATAAGGGTATCCTTCCTATATCAGGACCACTTTATAATGGTACGGATGATGCAGTACGAACTAGTTTTAATCGTGAGGATTTAAATAATTAAAAAAAACTAAGTCATAACATTTCTTCATTTCAGTGCCCTAACTGTGAAAAAAACTTCATCCAGACAGTAACAAGTGACTGGAGAAGGAGACCCAAGTGCTTATTTTGTGACCTCGATGCAAAGACAAACAATTAAAAGATATGCGACTGACTAAGACGATATCAGCGCAACGAAAAGTCAGCGACAAAATAACAATAAAAGATTTAATGTCTAAGTATTTTTTTATATTTGTTTTTTTTTAAAATCTTATAAAGCAAACAGTCAAATAATATATGTACAAAAATTTACGAGCCCACAACGAGTAAAAACGTTCAAAAAGCACGGATTGGGCTTTCGATATGTGTGTATTTGCAATCAGGGCAAAAGTGGTCCACCAATTTAAAGTACCAAAAACCACTTAGACTAGATGGGTAGTTATGTTCGGTACACAAACAAGTGACTGAATTATTGTCGAAATACCAGACCGAGCTGAACGTAATCCAGTTCCGAACAGCGGAAAACCATACTATTGACGAGTTAAATAAATGCTGCATGGTATCTGCATCATTGTTGAACCAAAGGAAATTTGGATACATCAAAATTAGTCACACGTTGAAAGAAGCAAGTAGAACAGGTCAGTTTATCTCATAGAAAGGCACCATAAATAAAGATTTATCAACGGGATCACATGTATCACCAAGGCTCGGGCATTGTAGTTAGTTCACTCAACTCCTGATCGGAACAAGAAGGGAAGAAATGACGCTTGTAACCAATCATATCAACCCAAGGGAGTATATGTAAATACTGATCATCTAGGATGATTGAGTGTAAATTTGTAGGAGAAATACAAGCATATTCAGTTTCTGCACCTACTGTACACTTTTGGGGAGAGTTATATTCTGAAATTTCTATAGAACTGTTATCACAGACAGTTACATAACTGCGATCAAGGCTATGCCAGTCAATGTTTTCCGGCAAACACGGTAGGTCAGGCCAATCATTCATAAAATTAGTCACAGGGGGGAAAACCGTTTTGTTTTTACGATGGCTTTTTAGTTGGTTGGAATGTAGTCTGGAAGGACCTAATATTTCAGCTTCATCCTTGTGATGTTTATGCTTCTTTTTCTTTTTAACTTTCTGGGCGATTGACGCAGTGTTGTTCTCAACATCTTTGAATAATAGTCGATTGGATATATTTTCACTATTATAGCTTATAGGACTTTGATTATTGATAGATGAAACGTTTACAAAAGGTATAACACTTTTAACCGAATCAGAAGTTAGGTTGTGATCTTTTTCGTATACAGCAGGACTTTCTCTACACTCTAAGGGTGTTTCCGACTTTAAATCTAAAATTGTGTTACATTTAGGAGAATGCGAAGTTTCATTATTATTGGCAGAGACACAGCGTGAACTTGACTGAGAACCAGAGTTTGCACGAGCCAGACGTGTTTTTGTGGGTTGCATTATTGAACATACTCGAGGAGGGTCGACTTCTTTGCTGATTCTGTTTGTAAGAATGCGGTCAGCAGTTACGGAATCAATACAATCTCCTGCAGCTTGGACCAGTTCTGCAGTTGATTTCACTTTCGTCAAACGCATGGAATTCGCTACTCGGAGCTTTGATGAAGGAGATCGAGATGCTGTTGAAATAATTGTTTGAGGTACTGAAGTATCTAACTTTTCTCTAAACCCGGTATTCTGAGGTTGTGATTCCATACATTTACTACCATTCACAAGGTTACTCGGACTTTTGACCTGAACGACTGTTGATGTTGTGTCTACGCACTTCAGACGTTTAGAAATATTTGAAACATAGTTATCGTTTTGGTGTGTTAGATGCACAGCAGATTTTTGTGAATCATCTTTGAGTTTTTCTGAGGGAGAATCGGGGAAATTTCTCTTTGTGAGATGTACGGAGCTTTTCATCTGAGGGGAGTATATTGCATTTACAGCGTCTGCTGGTTGCCTGGATCTTTCACGAGCAGATATTTTAATTGGTGTGCCATTCGACCTAGGTGACGTAGGTATATTTTTGTCCGCAGTCTTCAAAGGAATGACATACTGATGTGAATATTCAGAGGATAGTAGCTTTTGCCATGCTTTGATAATAAGTCGAATGCGTTTTTGAAGAGGTGGATCAACCTTGTGACGAATGGTTTGTAACAATTGACCAATCCTAGTATCCTGCAACTGAATCATAGTCATCGGGAAGTTCTCCAAATGACCGATGACGTCACACACTGCATTCAAATCTGTTACCTACAAAGTAGAATGAATAAGAAGTTCCTAAAGTTAAGAAAGCACATTTTTCAAATGAAATAACAGATGGATATTTTTTATTTGAATAGGCACTTGAATCGTAGCTATAATTTCGAATGAAATAGTCAGGCAGCGCAGAACCTGGAACATACTGCATCACCCTAAGTTTCCATATCACAACAGCACAGTGAGACGAAATTAATATAGTAGAAGTATGATCTGGAGTAAAAAAGACATGATAAAAAGAAAATGGTTTGGGAAAAAACGGATCTACAAGAAAAAAAGAATCAAATAATTTGAAACTTAAAATCAACTGACTGCACATTTAATGACTTCATGGTCATGTGGTAAGTGAAACTGGAGGAACTATGTTACGGCCTAATTTAGTGCTTAAATCTAGTTGATGTGTACAGAAAGTTTACAAACGACAATTTTAAACAAATGGCCGGTAGTGCGGATTATACAGAACAGTCGCTGCTTCCTCTCCGGAATTGATCGCGTCCAAGGAACTTACACCAAATGACTAGGAAAATTCAACTAGATCAATGTCTGGTCGGAAACTCACCTAGGCAGGTTGAGAGGACGATAGACAGTGATGACAACCTTGACGTAGACCAAAAAGTTTTACGCGATAATCACGAGTAATGGTGGGCAGCAAAAGTAACGACATGCAACACAAGACAACTGTTTTGATTCATCAAAGAGTCAGGAATGCGATCCTCTTAAAGTTCAAGAGATTAAAACAATATGTGGAAGACTTCCAGAAACAGTTTAACAGGTACCTACTTTTTTTCTAATTACCAAGGTGGAAACCCAACAAGTTCCCTAAATCTTAACGAAATTGAAACAGTCCTATCTAACTCAAACAGATAGGAATCATCAGAACTTGGTATCTTAACTACGGGTCTTTAAAGATAATGGTCTAATTTTAGAAACTATTCTGACGGAGATACTAGCTAGAAATCCTCATAGGATAACAACAGGATATACTAGATTCGATAATCATTCAACGCTTATCTGGAGCGAAATTTCGCCAAGTACAAACACGCCGAGATCGATCAGACTTCTAAGATAAGTTAGGTAAGCAACAAACTTCATAACTCCGCGACACAAGTATTTCATCATCTTCGACACAACAATTACGTTATTTGAGTACCACAAACTGATAAGGAAAGCCATTGGTAGATCAGGTCCTGGAATATCAAACGAAGAAAGTGCCATTGCTAAAGTTTTATCTGCAACAAAATTGAATTGGAGAAAGTTTGCACACCTGACGAACATTTGATGTAGCTATTTCAGAAAGTAGGTCACCGTGGACCTTAAGCAGATTTCACGAACAACTGAGGACACACTCAGTTGGTTCTGGATACGAGGCTGACCCAGATATTTCTTGGAAACAGCAGCGACATCTATTAATAATTTGAATCAAAGAGTCACGAAAAACCAATGGATTTCCGCAACATCTACTGCACTGATACTCTTAAAAACTTATCCCATCAGCTACGAACACGATGATGAACAAAATAGATTAGATCTATGTTAATCAAAAGTTTAAGGAACGACAGTCAGCAGTGGTAGACAACGAGAGTCAAAGAGATGGGAAAGACAGCGGCTCTAAATAACACAAGACAGCTTTACAGATTAACAAGAGAAACCGGAATTAGGGAGTCAAGTGTGAGACAATCTCAAAAAAAGATGACACTTATCTGTCCTCTGTCTAGACATCCAGAGCGATGGGTGAAACACTCACTTAGATAAACACTGAAAATGAATAAAGATCAAAACGCTATAACTAATCTGAACCGAGAAGGACAACTGGTCCAGGTTGATGGTCAGGTTTTAGAGATTAGGTTGAATGACATAGCATCTATGATACTAGCTTCAATATTTATTGGGTGTCTAACAAAGACTAGTGAACTGCAAACATGGAAACATCAGGCTAGCTTCAGACCTTTATGTGGCTGCATCGACCATATATTCACCATTCATCAGGTTCTAGAACACAGGCATGCTTATCGGAGTCCGGCAATGGTGGTCTTTCTTGACCTAAAAGCAGAATTCGACTCTGTAGACCGAGAGGTTCTATGGCAGTGTCTGTCATCGAAAGGCGTACCTCAGAAGTACGTAAATCTTGTGAAGGCTCTTTACTCGAACACTACTAGTCGAGTCAGAGCTTATGACGAACTGTCATCTGATTTTGCAACCTCAAGTGGTGTCCGACAAGGCTGTCCACTTTCTCCACTTTTGTTTAACTTCATTATAAACTTACTGATGGAAATAACGCTCTCGTCGACTGAATTCTCGGGCATTGATCTCCTACCAGGAGGTCCACTTATCGACTTAGAATATGCAGATGATATGATCCTGTTTGGTGAAGACTAAAATGCAGTCTTTTGATAGCACTGAGCAACAATGCCAGAATGTTAGGGATGCCCTTCCCCCCTTTCTAGTTGCAAATCGTTGCTTTAGAACTGACTTGCGTCAACACCTGAACTTCACGGCTGCAGAACGTGGCCATTAAGAGTAGAAGATACTCATAAGTTACTAGTATTTGATCACAGATGTCCTAGAAATATTGCCAGCATCTGCTGGGATCACTGGATAAATAATAGTGATGTTAGACGGAAGATACTAGGGAATGATGGTAATTTAGTTGGTGAGGTTGTGAATTTACATCGACTGAGATGGTTGGGTGACGTATTGCACATGTCCAACTACCGACTACCACGACGTGCAAAGCTGACTAGTGTTGAAGGCAGATTGGAAAAAGTTAGTGGCGGCCAAACGACGTTATATATGTCAAATCTTTAGAATAATCTAAGTCCCGAAAATAATCCAGGCGAGTTATATATGGCTCAACATCGATTACCACGAAGCGCAATGCTGACTAGTGTTGAAGGAAGATTGGAGAAAGTTATGGGGAGCCAAACGAAAAAGTGGCATCAGTCATTGAAGTCGCTAACTTCTCGTCTTAGCCATGTTGGTAGATGCATACTGCTTGGTTGGAGTCCACATGACTGTCGTAACCAATGGTTGGAGACTCTGGGTGATATGGTCCAGAATCTATCACAATGGCGTCGATGCATACACTCTTTGTCTTTCTTTAAACCATAAGATTAAAATCGCTTTATATCCTTCGTTCTATGAACTGTTTCTTTCTTTCTGTACTATGTTATTATACACAGTCTTTCTTTCATATATTACTACAATTGAAGTGACTACTTCTATGAATTTGATGCTTATTTTGTTGTGCTAAAGAGGTGTGGCAACTTGGGCTGATGCATGTATGTGTCTGGTCCTACGTTGTAGATGACTGACCGAGAGAGATACGAACCAATTGTAACGTAGAGCACATGTATATCTGTCTTAGCTCTCATAATCAATCCTTATGTAGATGACTGATGGGCTGTTACAACAACAAACCCTTATAAGTGTGACTGATAGAATGGAAATCTGAGCCGTCGGTAACTGGATTTTCCTATCAAATTTGATGTTAGCTAACTATCTGAAGAATCACATGTTGGCAGGTAGAAAATAAACAGGAAATATTATAAATGTAGGATGTTTGTTTACTGTATTTTTTTAAATCTCCACTCAGTTTACATTAATGATGACTTTATTAGAACCAAATAAAGAAAATGTATAAAGTATTCATTCTTCTTATTATTTGGTCACAGATATTGGTATAAGGAGGCACCAAATAGATATGCACCACACAAATCTCATTTGATTTGTGTGAGGGCTGTGATACTGCTCGGGTGCCCAAACCGAAGCAGGTGGTTTTCTTAGGGAGCCACACCCGGAGCCTCCGACCTAAAGGTCCGATTCACAAGGCTGTGGAGCGTTGTAAGGAGATGCAGTCCCATAGAAACCGGTGACAAACAATAGGTTCATATGTCATTTGTTCCCTCAGGACACTGGAGCCCATGTGCACCATTGATTTGGAATCAGGCTTTTCCAACTCCCCTAGGTGGACCGGGTTAAAGCGCCTAACATTCACTTTTCGTCCTCTCAATTTCGTAAACAACACCCCCACCACGAGAAGGCAGTGAGTAGGACTTTGCTGGCAGAGGCTATATA